GCATTGGATCATTTCAGATGCAACCAATTCTACCATCACGAAAGAAATGTAATAAAGAGTGGCTGTCCCCTCTCTTAGTGTAAACATAAGGAAACAACAAGAATGATTAATTACTACGAGATCATTGACAAACACTGCATACTCATATTGTCGTTACTGATGTTTACAGAGGTCAAATAAACGCAGACACAGCTTGAGTATTGGCATTCTGAATCAAACAATAATTGGAGATTTACTCCTAGGAATACAGAACTGCAACTACAACTTGAGAAATGGTCTCAAATGAGCCTCTCAAAAACCATACACGCTCATGAAATTGGTCAATAGAGAGCATTTGTCGTACGTAATCGGCCTACCTTGAATGCTTAACCACGCAAATTCAGCAGCATGCACACTGAGTAACTTCGAAGTTGCCACAGATGTTAGTATAAAACCCTCTGAACTCAAGTGCGGTTATTTGGAATAAATTTCCAATGCAGTAGACACTCACCTCCCGGAACTGAAAGTAAACAAACAATTCCGTTATGCTTTTGTAGCATGCGAAGTAAATTATCGCTAAAAAGTCTTAGAACTATACTTTGTACTGAAACCTACCATTTATATACAATAACCAAGTTGAACCCCTTAAGTTGTTATATACCGCCCACAGGATGCACTTGATAGGTCTGCATTTCATGTGGAGGTATAATCTGTTTGTCTGCTGTATGTGATTCTGTGCTACAGCCCTCAATGTTTCTATGAGATATGAGCGCGAAGATATTGCATCTCTATTTCAACGTGATTGTTTGTGACATTACGAATGAACACAACCCGCTATGTTCATTCAAATGGGATGGCTGCATTATGTTGTGTTCCTCCATAGGTGGCACCTGTGGTCGATGTGATCAGTATAGGCTAGGACGCCTGTAGTCACTACTACCTTTCCATCAAGGGAGCCATGTCACGGGACCCAAAAAGAGAGCCGTGAAATTACTTAATAGTTATACGTACAGTATTTCATAGGACAATATACAAGCTATAAAATCCACCCCTTTAGTGGTATTTGCACTCAGCCTGCACCAGAACCGTCTCGCTGTGCAGGATTATGCTTACGACGCGGCTTCCGGAAACCAAACGCATGCAAAACTGCAATGTGTCTGCATTATTCAGAAAATGGAATATCACTGAGGAAAAATGAACCAAAATGATATCTACTATGAAATCAGTGACAATCACTATTCCAGCGATTGTCCCGTGATTGATACTTCTGATGGAGGTACTAAATCACTACTAGAAGCAACGAAGATGTGTGCGAGAGTCTCTCTGAATTTGCTTCCCGCTTTCATGTAAAACGCCGCATATGTATTCACGAGGTAATCCAAACATCGAATACTTACGTTTCCTACAACAAACGAGGCATATACACGCACATTTTCCAATGTGTAAGGCAGGCAGTGATACTAATTCCCGGATTTTAAATGTGTTTAAGTAAAACCTGATGTAGTGATTTTGATATGGTGAAAAGTGTTGCAATAACGGAGGCACTCACATCCTACAACTAAAAAAGATATCAATAAAAATGGGCGTTATTTAGAGTAGAACACGTTTTTAATTGAATTTCAGAACCATGATGTGCAAATTCTACATTTTCTCCTGTGAACATGCTCACACATTGCAGAATACGGGTGAAGTTGTTGGATTAATTTCTACAACCAGAGACTGTTAGTGTATAAGACGCATGTGTTTGCCATTCGACGTCGCTTGGAACGTGCCAAGGTTTGAATATATTAGGACAAACACGTCACACAGCTCCACAAATTGATTCTGGTTGACCTGTAAACTGTCATTGGTCCAATATATTTGCTTGATAGGTTGATGACCTATACCATGGCGTAGCCTTAAACCGTGGAAATGAACTCGTAT